CAGTTCTCCACAACGGCAATCTGCAAGAGTTAACATTTTGGATACCCTGAAGACAGACAGGGAGTCAACATCTGAGTGCACCTAAGTGGCACAGCCACATTCAGTGGAAAAACAAAATACCCCAATACAACGATCCAGCCTGCTGAATCAAACATACAGTTTGAATACGGTATTAATAATATAAGTACAGGGGTGGTGCAGAGAACACTAAAAGACAATTTACAAATTTTAGAAATTTTTTAGACTCTAAAGCAAGCGTATTATACCTGGATTGTACATATATTCTCATATGGTAGTTGTCACCCTAATACAAGGAGAAAGAACAAAAAACATTAATTATTAATAGCTGAATATATATGATTAAAATTCCACAAGCATCCAGGTGAATCAACTGATCATTTCATATGACTGCCAAAAGCAAACACAAAAAGTGTGAACATGACAGATTTATTTTTAAGTTAAAACTCTAGAGAAAAAGATTTTTCATTATTCAAACATTTTATGAACAAGGACTCTGACTTCACCAAGCATGTAGGAAATTTTTTTGGGAGCTAGTTCTGTTTAGGTTGCATATACTTGTTCTGTTCTCATGTAGCTCTGATTACTGCTTTTTAAGGAAATGGAATCAGAGTGTTGTTCCTGAAGAGTTCAATTTCTTCTGAAGCTTAGTGTTTTCATCTCATATTTTTTGTTTGTGACATCATAGTTGCCTGTTTTGGAAAAGACTAAAAAGCTACAATGCTAGAAACATGAGGAGCCAAAAAAGCAATAGGATTATTCCATGAGGAACAAGAATCCTGATTTCATGATTTTTTTTCTTAATAAGAAAGAATAAAGATAATTTAAAGGAAAAAAAATAAAATAATATATGAAGTAGACTTATTTCTGAACAGAAAGGAAACTTTAGGAAAGAGTTTTCCATAAGCAAATCTTTAGAGGCACGTTTCCATCAATACCGTGTATTTACTTTCACAGATGGCTGTGTCTCATTTATTCTGGAGAATTGAAGTATTTAGCCTGTCTTCCCACTATCAATTTACCCAACTCAAGTAAACTCAACTTGTTACTATATTTGCCTCAGCATCACTTTTCAGACAAGTATTAAGTTAACAGAAAGATATGAAACAGCCTTTTTTATTCTCCCTATATATGTTTGTATGTATGTCTCCACACAAGTATAAGCTTTTGTCTTCATTCTCCGGAAGCCAAAGCTTAGTATTACATACCTTTCCAATGTCAATGTCTTATCTTTTTGACTACTCATCAGGGTTTTATTTTCCATTCATGGTTATATCCTTGTTCCATTCTTCCTCTTTATCTCCAACTGCTTTTGCATGACTACCACTTTTTTGGGTGCAGTTATAGCCTCTATATAGCATTCTCAACTTACTGACATCACACTTGCTAATCCAATCTAAAAGAAAATTCTTGGGAAAAAGTGAAAGTAGTATCAGTTTGCCTTGCTCCACCAGGCTATAATGTGTAGTGATTCAGCAGCTGCTGCTATACCAGCAGTGCGTTGTGCAACTGAGGTGGGAATCCTTGGGAGCAGCAGCACAAACAGCTGAAACGGGAACAGCCACACTGGCCCATTGCAAACTGTTTTCCCTCTTGAACTAGATGTGTCTGTCTTGTCACTCTCTAGGCTTTGTTTTTTTCAACCAAATAATAGGCTAGATGCTTCCAAGCATTTAATTTTCTTAGATGGGAATACTGTTTTCATTTTTTTTCCATGGCATACTGTGTTATATTTAAACAATTACTCCACTTTTACCTTTTAAAGTTAACCCCCACCATCATTGCCTCTAAAATCCAGTAAGTCAGGAGATGTAAGAGCACATCTAAACGCAAACATGTTTAGAAAAAACACATATGCTTCACTGGAAAACATTGCCCAGATACCATGTGGAATTTCCATCCTTGCACATATATAAAACTTGACTGGAAAAGGCATCAAGCAAGTCTACTATGACATTATTTAAAGTTGTATGCAAGATTTCAGGGTTTTTCATCAAAAAATTACTACAAGTAGCAGAAGTTATCATTCTGAAGACAAAAATCAGATTCTGAGATCAGATGTCTCTATTATTTAAAAGTAATTTTTTTTTGTTTTATGAAATACTGTTTAATGTTGTCCTGCTGGGGATAAAGTATTTCATTTGCACATTAAAACAGACTATTTCTGATTATAATAAAGAGCTCCTTTTAAAAATGAGAAGAAGAAAAGAGAAAAACTAGGGAACTGAATAGCCTGTAGCTTTTTTATGGAGAATAAGCAAAAATCCCCTCTTCTGAATCAGATACAATCTTATAAAATCAATTCTGCCCTAAAACATAAAAGGAAGGTCATCTTTTTTACTTTCAACAAGCAAAACAAACAAACAAACAAATTCAGTTCCTATACTTTGGGCCAAATTAGCACGTAGATATACAGCTACGAAGATTACCTTAATTAATTATCTGCGTATAAAGCTTCGAGATCTGTCTAGATGTTTTTCCTTAAATTGAGTTTCTCAGAGAAGGCCAAAAGGGCTTTAAACTCCAGAGCCTGATTTTATTTAACGGAAACTAGAACAGTAACATCTCAAATAAAGGAAGATTGGAATTGGTTGTGCAAGACAAATAGAAATAAAAGGACATATTAACAAAACTACTCCTCCCGCACTGTGTCACTGAAGAGTAGATACTATTCACTTCAGTCCAGCTCAGTGACTTTTAGGCTCCTCTCCACACAGTTACCTCTGGGTATCTAGGAAGACTCTCCTTTTCTGTCATTTCAGAGATAGGGCAGTATCCACCCTCTGCTCTTTTCCGGGTCTCCTTGCTGTGCCACAGGCATCTTTACTCGTGCTTCTTTTTCTCCTGACCTAACCTGCAATCTAGAAGAGCAGCTGCTCTGAAGAGAAGCAGATAGCTCCACATAACTATCATCCCCTTTTAAGGGAATATAAGCTAAGAATTGAGAATAAACAGATAAAAAGCTCATGTTTCTTCCACAATAATTTCCAGGGTTTTCAGTTTTTTTCCTTGCAAATGAAAACTGGGAGACTTTTACATGCTTTGTGTTTAAGGAATATTTTTGTTCTTTTCTTTCTTTTTATGATACCGACATGCGGGATTTTTAAATATCATGCAGAAGCTTATCTTAGAAATGGATATCTCCCCTGTTATTATATGTATGCTTACTTCCTTTAAAATGTTATAAAAGCCTTGAATGTTACTGATATCAGACTATTGATCTGCCAACTCCTTTTCTTCTCTATTTGCTATTCTCCAGTCATATCCCTTAACAGTAGGGCTTTCAAAAAGCCTTCCACCATTGCAATATGCATTATTTTTCTAGTATTCTTGAACAGAGATTTCCCTTGACAAAAGCACATACAGCTCTTGGAGTTATGTTTGTCCATTAATTAGGTCATTTTCATTTCTGTGCCTTCACTCCAGTCACCTGTGCATTACATCAACATCCAGTATCATATTCTTTACTGCATGCCGAAGGAATTATTTATTATATTATCCTTAATCCTTATTACTAAATGACTATAAAAATATTTTAAATGATTTATTATATTAGTCTTAATATCTTATTTATTGTCCTTAATCTGTATACTATCTTCTCGATACTGCAACTTCCTTTGCTTCCAATTGTCATATTTATGTGGATGAAGAACCACTTGCTAATTGATTTCCTTCCACTGGCAAGATGTGACACATCTTCAGTTTTGATAATACTCTTGTATCCCTAAAATCTCAATCACTCCCCTAGTTTCTTGCCTCTAAAAGAATTTTTATATTGGTAAATGATTTAATCTGTAACAATGTAACTAATCTACCAGCTGTAAACTCTGTGGCTTTTCCTAATTCCTTCGCTTTCTGCTGACTGTCCATTCCATCCCTCCTGAAGCGTTTCCCTAAGCTTTTATTCCATGAGGGAATTCCATCCCCTTTTGCTCTTCCTGTGCTCCAGAAGTTCTTGAACGGCCGTCCTAATGAAATCTCAAGCTTCTTGCAGAAGCCTTTCTCTAGTCTACAACAGAGCAGATTCTTTGGGAAATCTACAACTAATTAACAGCCCTTTCTGAGAGCTAAATCACACTACTCAAATGTAAAAGTGCCTGCATTTGCTGATATGTTATTTATCACATTTCTTCAGCCAGTAGATGATAAACCGCCCGTGAAATTCTGTCTGCAGGCTTACTAAGCTGAGTTTCCTAGAAACTAGGAGACAAGCCGTAGCATCTGCTTATGACTAAAACAGATACTTTGAGAAAACAATTCTTTCTTTAGGAAGTTGGGGAATGCTGTGGCAAGATCTATAGAAGCACATGAAGGACAAAAACATGACAGGATAAAACATTGTTTCCTTTGGACTTTAAAAAAAATCTCTGGGGGAAACAGAGTGATATCTTTTATAAATCAATCCCTTCAGATATCTTGAGACACCTTTTAATGATTCTAACGTTCCACATCAGAAGTATATTCATTATTTTTTGTTTCAGCAGAGAGTATTGCCAGAAGAAAAGTGATAGCAAATATTTAAACCTTTTTTTACCATAATTGGAAAACCAGTCTTCCTTTCCCCAAATATATGGAAGGATAACATTGTAATAGAGATACATCACAAGTTCAGGTAAAGACGGGATGGCCTGTTTTAAACCTTATCTGAGGTACACAATGCCTGCTGCATATAAAGTGTCATTTTTCATAGTATAGTGTGCTTTTAAATGTTAACATGATAATGTGAAACAAAGAAAACTTAAGATGCCAGGCAAACAGGCTGTCCCATGTAATGATGGATGAACATCACAGAAAGTTCTATTTGATAAATAATATTTTTCTCAAAGCATTGTTTACTCAGCAACTGTGAATAAAAATAGGCTAAACACACAGAAGCTTTTCAAAGCGCATTTCTATTGAACATCATTTCAGTCTGTGGGTAACAAAATAGTTCTTCCAGCAGCCCAATCTCAAACCGCAGATCATCCCCCAATGAAACTTACTGGCATAAAGGAACAGCATCTCTGATGACACAGGTTCCACCATTTTTGCAGTAGTCTTCAGGACAATCTACAAACATAAAGGTAAAAATATGATTAATTTTTTCCCCTCATCATTAGATTTGTCACTGCCTGATTTTCAAAAATGCTGAATATTCACACCTGTCATTTTGGGTGCTTAGCCCTTGAAAACTCTAGCTTTAGGCCTTGATTTGGTGGTGCAAGTGTCAAGTTATAAATACATTAAAGTCAAGGGACTACTCTTGAGCATAAAGAAATCCTGGTGCTTCACTTGAACATGCTTCCATTTTTTCTGAAGTCAAAATTTCACTTGACTCCAGAAATGGAGCTTTTGTCATTTACTGGATTTTCAAATAGCGAACCTATGAACATACAAAACAAGAAAGGAGTTGAAAGCATTGATCTAGCATACATTTATTGTCTAAGTCTAAGATTTTTGCAGAGAGTCCGGTGGGTACCTTCAGCTAAGAAGTGAATGTACACCTTAGTCTTCTAGTTGGTTCGTGAATAAACACTTAACATATTTTAATAAATTATGGTACATACTAAATTTTATGAAATATATTTTACAATTATATTCTATAAATAACAATGTATTCTAAAAATGGAGGGTTACGTCCTCAGCTAATGTAACTTCACCAAGGTCAGGGGAGTACTGTTAAAACAGAACTGGCTCAAAGTTCTTTTAAGTGTCACAGGGAACCAGAAAGCACTGTAGCATCTTTGTGTCACTAAATGGGATGCTTTATATCTAAATGTTATTCATTTATAACATCATAATCTATGTTTTTGTTAGATTTTGTTAATTAAAATCAGATTTCATATTGGATATATATTGTTGTCTTGTTTTTATCTTTCTCTGTTATTTCACTATTGTAAAACAAACCTGAATTTTGCAGGACTTGAATTGTGCTAAAATAAAGTCTCTATATTTTATTTTATTTTCCAACCTGGATTTGCATTATACTTTTAAAAAAATCCCAGTAAGCTCAGAAATGCTGAACTCACTCTAAGTGGGTTACTCTCATGGCTAAAATCAAGACAGTGTGTGAGTATTCTATCACAGAAGCTTTTTTTCTTTCAAACAATGTATGTATACCTTAAGAAACATCCCTTATGCGCATGTCACGCTAACTAAGAATATTGGTTTCCATCTTTATTTTGCTGTTTTTCTGTGTGTTACTTTCATGACGCAAATTCATGCCTGATGTAATCAGATTAAATTTTAGCAGAGGGACTTCAGCTTAGTTTGAGGACCACCTAAAGATTTATTAATAAACCACTATATTTTTCTGTTTCAAATGATAGTTTTGTGTAAAACTAAGTACCTGAACAGCTGGATTCATCAGGACTGAAATCAGCACAGTCTACAATACCATCACAACGCTGGGAGACTGGAATACATTGCTTAGTTGTCACACACAACAAGGAACCATTGGAACAATCTTTCATGGCTGGAAATAAAAGGAATATGACAGTTATTCTCAGATAGATTTACTTTACTCACTCTTAACAAACTATCAGAAAACTTGATCTGGTATAGTGCACAAACTTAGGCTGTGTGGCCATTACACACTTTCATCTTCACAGGCATACAACTTTACTATTGACTAGATAAATAGGTAAACAAACACAGATCACAGATGTTACAGAAGATAGATTTTCCGATGTTAAATTTCTGAAGCAGAGAAGAGCATATTTAATTATAAAATGGACATAGTAACCTGCAAAACCCTAAGGAAAACCCATAGAGTATCTGGCATAATCAGCGATTGGGCATAACCTAGTGTCAAAACGATGGAATTAATTTTTAAACACGGAACAAAAAATTGTCATAATGTAGTTTCCCTTTGTTACAAGAAACCAAATACTGTCTAGGTAGTTATGTATAAATAGCAGAGAAATATTGTATTGCAAGATCTAAACTTGCACACATCTTTCACACTTAGGCATTCAGGTGTATATTCCGTGCTTGTCCGGAGGAATTATGAGGGGAAAATGCTGACAGAATCACATAAGCCTCCAGGTAATTCGTTACTGAATCACTGATCTACAGGATGCCCCTAATGGCTTTGCATCCTTCTCTAGAATATAACATCATATTGTCATTTTATGTAACACTATATTCTCTTATGTTGCCTTAAGCCATTATTTTTTAAGGCTTTTGTTTAAGTTAATACGAGCTGAGGTCTTTCACAATGACACTTATGCAGATCAGAGGGAACTCTTGACTCCACTGAAGTTAGATATAATGTTAGAGAGAAAGAATTTAAGACTGTTAAAAATACTCCAATGCCACATCTAACTTTCATTTTTCCTGGGTTCAGGAGCCAGTGCACACTGCAACGGGCCTCCCAGGCTGTACAGCTACAGGATGTGTCTGCTCCACCCTTAAATAGAACCTAAACCTAAACTGGCCTATACGTGCTACAACAACATGCTAAATATAAAATACTGAATTTCAGTTTTAGACTGCAACCATGGAGTCAGATCCTTCCAACTCTTGCCAATTTGGGTATTCTTACAGAACTACGAAATAACTCATGCAACTAAGGATTTGTGGGATCAAACGTTTTAATAACATGCACTGACAATTTACTAAGAACTACAGAAACATCTGTAGAAGAGTACCAGCAATCATAAAGAGAAGCCCACTTGCATTTCCAATTTTAATTAATATTTACGAGAAATTAAAAGTTTTAGCTGATTCTAAACAATTGCTATAGTGTTATGGACTAGTGTTTACATCAGAACTGTATATTCAAAATCTCTTTAATTGACTGGGAAAGTCCTGATATTGAAGAGGGAATTTGCTGGTAGTGACGGCAGCCTAAAGGCAACACCATGACCAAAAAAATCTCCTTTTCCAGCATAGACCTCAATGAAAGATCTCCCTTTTGCAGGGGTAAATATTTTTTAAAAATGCAGGTGTTTCAGAATATCTCAACTCTGGGATCCTCAAAACAAAATACTTAAAAGTCTCTTCAGAAAATTCAGAATATCAGTCTGCTAGGCTATCCACAGCTGGTTACTCAGAATCAATTGTTTTTTTTAGATAACGTTAGTGACTTCTCTCTTTCTAAATGGGAGTCCGCACTTTGTCATTTACGCATGTGGATACATATTTTTTCTATTCTTCCTTTTATACACATCATATAGGTTCTGTCATATAGCATCTCCCTAGCTTTATCTATTCTCCATTCCCTTGAACTCTCTTAGTATGGCTGAATAGCTCTTGGCAGACTGGAAAAAAAAAGGAGGAGGGGAAAAAAAGGAAAAAAAAAAGATTACAGCATCATTCCAGTCATTTGGTGCTTTCTATGGTCCAGATTTGTAGCATATCCTGCAATCTAGCTCTTGTGATCTTGTTAGCTCTCCAGAAAGTAACTGACAATCCCATGCCCTCTGCTGCACTTTCCCAACCAAATAATAATCTTGTAGTTATTTTATGTGCAATTAGATCCAAACCCTGAACCCTTTCCAATTTGGAGGATGATGTCCCAACGATATTTGAACCAGTTTTCTAAGTGGTCATTTACACACACATACTTAGTCTGTGAGCATAATTACATGGTCAGCCTATAGTTTCAATGGAAACAGAACTGGAAATTTGACATAAAACATATTTTTGAACTCAGTAATTTCCCTTATGTACTTTAGACTTTTTATGTCTGCACATACACTCTGAGGACTTTGCAAACTACGTATATATAAAATACTGCTTACGGTTTGTCTGATATATGTTATGACTAATACAGAGGTCCAGTTTCTGAACTTGCAGTGAGGGTTGTGGTAAGGAAGAAAAGTGTTATTTAGCCATTTTTCCCCCCAACTAGTCCCAGCCTGACTGCTGGACTCACACCTTAGAGTAAGATAGAAGAACTGCCACTTACTCTTTGTCCAACAATATCCACTGATGGTTTAGGTATGTTCCTTTGCCCAGATAAGGCTGACTGTACTGGGATTTCTATACCACTTACAGAGGGAAACTTCATAGCAATGGATTTGACTGTTGAATACTTTGCACTGATGCAGCATTTAAGAAGCTAAGTCACTAGTGCAGAGGCAAATAACATTAAGAGTGGATTTTAAATAGTGTTATTTCTCTTATTGCATTGAAATTAAAACTTATATTGCATACTGCTAACACAGTTGCAGGTAGCTTCAAACTTCTCCAGCTAGTTATTCTTTACTTTTGTGAAAGGCCTTCAAGTGTTGTGGGGATTAAGCTATTAAATGGAGGCATTAATAAAAGTGAAGATATTAAAGTGAAAATATCAGCTTTTCACCTATATATCATTTTGCAGGTCCAAATTAAAACTACAGGAAAGAAAAAATCACAGCTCCTTTGAAAATATATAATTGTTAATATTTGTTAAGTATTCACAATTTACCAGGACTATAGCAGATACATATTGTTGGACTACAGAGACTGGGGAAAGCCTTTTTTATTCATTGCTATTAGCAGTTAAGTCAGATGCTTTTGGGGAATGTGGGAAAGCAATGCATACATCCCATTGCTGTTAATACATTTATTTTAAACCCTAACCTTTGCAATGAGGCAATTAAAAAAAAAGGTTAGATAAAACAGGTGACATAAAGTACCTTTCACTAAAATTGGCAACGAGAGCTAGCCCTTGCTGGCTTAGTAGAACAGCTATAACTGGAAAATAATTCCAAGATCTTCTTGCTAAAATAGCAAGTAATAAAATTCACCACATTAGTAGGTATAATACAGTATGAATACAATATTGTGTTATCTAAAAATTGAGTGAACTCTACAGGAAACTCTGTCTGCATAAATCTCTAACTCATGCAGAAGAGCATTTCTGTGGTAGGAATAGTGGTTGCACTAGATATCTGATGAATGCATTTTCTGTTTGTTTTTCTTTGCCCTGGCTGCCTTTTGGGATTTATACTTAATCTCCACAGAATGCATTTTGCCATCTGGTCTTCATCCCAGAAGATAATTTTCTTTAATACATTCTGGAATTCAGAAGCTAGCTGAGCATTTCGTGACTTTCTATTGTTACATTTAAATGAATGATATTGCAAAGGGACATGGCACACACAAAATGGAAGAAGCTAGTAATTCCTAAATTTAAACCTTCTAAAATCAGCAGTGAGAATAAAGAGAGTTTTGCCATCAGTGAGCTTGGGATCAAGCACTTAAAATAAGAGTTGAATAGCAAAATAATTTAAAGGGATAAAGAATTGTTTAAGCTCTGATAAAAGAGATTTAAAGAGGAAGGTGTGGAATAAAATTTCACTGTTTGCTTAAATCTGATCAGCACGAGAAAAAGACTTTGCTACTTATATCTTAACTGTCCTAAAGAAAATTCAAATTTCAGAAGAAAAATTCAATTTCAGATCTCCCCAAAATCTGCAAAAAAAAAATCTGTATTTTAATTACAGTATACACACAGGCTGGAAATAATTGCACAACATTCGATTATTTTATAGAACATGCAAATATTTCAATAAAGTAAACTAAACTTGTAAAAGAGGTATTTCCTTCTCCTCTTTCTGACTTTCCTCTACTGACAAACTTATGTGACATCTTATGCTAAAAATAGACAGCTCAAGAAGATGAAATGCTGCACTCCCATAGTATATACATCTCAATGAGACAATCCATTGTGCAACAGCAATCACCTTTTCTCTGATTCCATTCCATACCACTACTAACCACTTCCTTTTTGCTTTGCCCCTTAGCCAATATCTTATTCAGAGAAGAAATAGGGGTAGCTGCCTTCATATTCCTATCTTGTATTGTCAAAACTTAAGTATTTATATATTCAAAACTGAGTTTAGGAGTAACAAAGTGATCACGGGTGTGAACAAACTTCCATGCTGCTCAGAATTGCTAGGTTTGGAACAACTCTGGAGAATTTTTGTTCTTTGAATAGGCCAGGACTAAATTTCCCCTTGTTCCCTAGGCATTGCTTCAGAAATCAAGGGCAATGAAACAGTATTTCAGTTGTCTGGGGAGTTCTGATACTTGTGGAAGTCCTGTGGCCTTAGGATCTTAGAAGTTTTGGAGCATATGTTAACTGTTGTGGTCTGGGGTTGGGATCTACGTCTACTAGACATACAGCAGAGAGGCCTCTCCCAGAGCATAGGTTGAGGAGGAGAGAGGGATGAATGAAGACTGAAGAAGAGATCTTGGTGCCTTTGGGATATGTAGAATTTAAGGTGAGAGAGATCCTAAAAATCATGCCTTTTGCCAACGAAACCACAGAGCTCAGTTCTAAATGAACTGTCCTAGAAAGACATGCACAGATAGTTTACAAGGTATATACAGTAATCTTCAAAAGAAATGGCATGTATGGTGGCCTGAATGTATAGCCAGTAGTTTTGATCTAGATGATGGAAAATTTGCATATCTAGCCCATTGGAAATTGATATTTTAATATTTGTTTGGTTCTGACAGGATGAAAAAATATATTAAAAACTTTTGCAGAAAGAAAAGTTTATGAAAAAACGTTTGTATACGTAAAAATTATCTTTTTCCATATAGTTAATTATCCAAATCTTCCTGTAATGAAACATTTGGCTTCAGTAAATCTACCAATAATGAAATATTTTGAAATGGGCAGACATAGTTTTGTGCCCATCTGAAACTCCATGGTACCTCATGACAGACAAGTCTGTTGCCCTCCTATCTTTCTTGTGAGCCTTTCTTCCTAGCTGAGGCAGAGATCGCTGCTACTACATGAATGAACTTGCTTTTGAAATCCTTGAAAGGTTAGACTTGCCTTGAATGTCACTGAATAACAGAACTGCAAAACTTTTTGTCTGTCATACTGTAAAGAGACATGAGGCAATGCAAATCCAACTGACTCGTCTATGGGCAAAAGTGGAAATGCTTCCAGTCAGTAACAGAAATACAGTGCAAACCTTGTAAAGCATTTGTCACAGTTGGTATTTAGGAAAAAAGACAATAAACAAATTTATTTGCAGATGTAGAGCTTCTCTTCTGATAACACATTATATACAACACAAATGTTAATATTCTTGACTAGGGAATACCGAATTCTACCCTTCACTTCTTTATATTGCTCTTTTTCACATTTTTCACACTGCTTTAGGGAAGCAAGTTAGCATGGATTTAACTACAGCAACAAAAGTAACTTACGGCAGTCGACTTCATCTTCATCCAGCTGGCAGTCAGGCACACCATCACATTTCAGGAGGGATGGGATGCACCCTTTGGAAGGACACAGGATCTCTGTTTGTTTGCAGGATCCCGGAGACATACTGGTAGGGATCTTTGTGAGACAGTTCATTTCATCACTTCCATCTGCACAGTCTTCAGCCTCATTACATTTTGCAGTGAGGGGCAAACACTGCTGCACGTATGCACATGTGAACTGGTCACTACTGCAAGTTGGAGGGTAGGGATCAGCTGGTCCTAAACAGAGAAAACGAAGCCCAGAAAGGAATATTTGCTGATTCACTTCTTTCAGTGACCATCTACATGCCTTTGAGATGCCCATAGGGACCTCTAGGAAGGCAGCCAGAGTGAGTGCTTTAAAAAAAATAAAATAACTTGCATAAAAGCACAGCTCCTAAGTACAGAACACATTATTAAAAACATTATGTCTCATCTACTAACCCCACTGATGCCGTTGCAGTATTTTCCTTCTAAAGACCAAAGGCAACGTTTATTTTGATTGTATTATTGCTTGTGCCACATAGGTACAGGAGGGTTAATACTAAAGTATTAGTAAAACTTACCTTTCAGCCTGTTTCAGGAAAAGATTAAATAATATTCTTGATAGCCCTCAAGTCACAACATTCTTCTATTTGTGTATTGAGTGGATAAAAACAAAGAAAGGCTATATAAGTCTAGATCAACAGGACAGTTGTTCCACAGAAACCTATTAGCCATAATAAGGTCTGAATCCTCAACAGAGTAAGAAGAAAGATTTTCATAAAGTAACAACAAAGGTTTTACACTGATATAGTTTATTATTGCTCTGATTCTGTAGCGTAGTTTCACTCGATAGAGAACTAAATCAAAGAAAAGGCTAGATAAAAATTTCCAGGTTGGAATGGAAAGAAAAAAACACACATTTTTTAAGATTTCAACTAGTTCAAGCACCTGACACGAGAAGAAATATTCCATGTTTACTTGCACAGCTGGAAAAAATTTGGAAACAACTTTCTGTGATCACTTACACACATAAATTTGCTTTAGAGACGCCTGAGTCCCTCTTTCCTCACAGCAAAATCACTGCAATTGAATTTTACTGGCAGAACCATCAGAACTATTTATGGAAACCGAATTATAAGAAGCTGTCTACGCTAGCTATATTCTTTACACCATCCATGTCTCCTATGGGAGCAATGTGATGAATTCTTGAAATTTTTGTTTGATATACAGGGAGAAGAGAAAAATCTCTAGAATTTAACTCCATGTATTTAATTTTTACTAGGTCAATTTGTGGTACATAAATAAACAAAACAATTAATATTATGATTGTTAGAGACAAAGAAAGACAAATTAATGTCACCAGCATTGTAAAAGCTAGCAGGATTTTTGCTACCATGTTGGGCTGAAGCAGAGCAAACCAAGGAAGTGCAAAATTCACACCCTGCTTTTGGTGTGCCTTTTGAAATGATGCAAGCATTATTCTCTGATCTCAGAAGTAAACATTACTGTTGCATTAAGCCATGATACACTGTAAGGCAACACATGGTTGTATTATTCTACTATTTTTAACCCACACAGTATAGCGGTCCCTTTGTGTATTCTGTGTTAGCACACTGGGATTTTACAGTAGGAGAACTTCCCTGAAACAAGCTCAGTTTCTAAAATACCTGCACCATGAATAACAATAACATTTTGTCCAAAAATAAACTGCTAATTCATTCAGATAAATTTGAATTTATTCAACATTTGTCATTTGTAACATTATTTTATCATCTGAATTTGTAACATTATTTTATCATCTGGTAGCTTGCAAAACAGTTCCAAGGAAAAAGAGCTCAAACTGCTGTTTAACATTTCATAATTCCCTGTTATTGTTAAAAAATAATGCAAATAATGCATAGCAACATTTTCTGACTCATATACTAAATTATTTTAGTGTGTGCAATATTCATTGAGAACAGTGAAGATGTCTCCAATTTATGCTAGAGGTTAAATTAGGGGTAAGGTTACCCAGTGGTCTTATGAGGTCTGTTCTATGTTTTCAGTACATTAATAAAAATCTAAAGCCTGAAATCAGCAAAATCATTTTAGATCAAGACAATACATGAGATCAGAACATACCTCAAAGACCTTAAGAATACCACCTTGCTTATCGACCCACACTATATATTAGTTAGTTCGTATCTGTTTGACTTGACTTAGAGATTCAATAGAAAAATTGTGCTCGGGCTGACATTCTAGAAAATGTTATGATTGCCAGGACCTACAAAAACTTACTCCTAAGTGTAATTTTTTTTCTCTACATAAAGTAGGATATAAATGCTTTTATAAAGAACAAATTAAATGTGCCTGCTAAAAATTTTTTATCATCTTATTTATCTTTTTTCTAAGACATTAATTTGCATAGAGCTAACAATTAAAACAAAGTAATTAAAAGTATGCAAATCTACAGAATAATTAACTAATTCTAAATTGAAAAGAAATCTCAAGCAGCATTATCATTAATGCCAAACTAATTATTTGCATTCAAAGCTGCTAGGTAATTATTTATATTAAGCTCATCATTGCAGTATCTACTATTGACACATCGCATTCTTAACAGTGGAAATACTCATTCTGTTTTCTTGCCACTGTAATTTGGTTTGCAGCAAAAAATTAACTAGTACCAATTACAGTCTCATGATAAACATCCTCCAGTGTCTTGAGATGCACAGTGGGATACACGCCTGATTCAGCTTCAGAAACTAACATTATGCTTGTTTATACATATGGATACCATAGCCACTCTGTAGATACATATGAAGGTTGCATAAACAGCAGAATCTGAAGTGTGCCTCTTCAGTACAACTCTGACTATCCATCTGCAGCCCATGGGCCATTTCAGTTACTTAAAATTCTTGGATTCAACAATTGCTTAGCACTGGCATGCCAGAAAAATGTTTCCTTCACCTTTCTCCAAATGTGGCAAAGATGTTCCCAACCGAGTGCGCATCTCCTGAGTGTTACACAGGTCTAACGTTCAGACCACGTTCAGGAGTGGAAGAGATATTGTACAGGTTACTTTAAAAAAAAGAAAAAAAACAGTATTTATTTTAAGCTATTTAAGGATTTGGAGATAAATCTAATGAAATGCATGATCTTTGAAAATCAGGACCGGAGATCCTCAGAAAATGTTCTGTATCAACACACAGATGGAAAGCAGACTAATCAAAAACAGTTTCAGAGAAAATAACCTCTACTTCACTGAACACCAAGTCTGGATTTAGATCGGGATGAAAAACAGCAAAAAGCTGTTGATGCTCTATAAAAGTTAAAGGAACTATGATTTTTTTTAAAATAGCTAGCAGAGAACATATTCTTATCTCATTTTACTCAAGTGTTCATTTTTACATTGTGAGTGGCAAATATCCAAAACTAAAGGAGTTTGAAATGGCCCATAGAACTTGTGTATCAGAAAACAACACTAGAATAAAGCCCAAAATCCTTTGTGAACCCTGTTCATGCAGCTTGTCATTTGAGTTATAATGTAGGGATCCAGATGAGATACCTCACAAGCACCCTCACTTTCAGAAGTGAAACTGGATTTTTGAGAGGGCTACAAAAAACAAAGATCAGACCAGTGTGTAAAACAAAAGTTTTCTATGTACTGCCTCATGAACTGCAATAACTACAGCTGAATATACCTGTATTTCATTGTTGTCAGATAAAATGGGTGCTTCTGGTACATTTTATTTCAATGTGCTAACCATCAAAACATCTGTTAAGCTAAAAAGAGCTCACGAGCTCTTTTAGGAATAAGGAGTCTTTACAGTATAGAAAGTGTTAAGTTAATGAAGTGCTCACAGTCAGGTACATAATTACATATTTGCCGGATAGGAATTTATTAAATGCTTGCTGTTTTTTGATGAACATGTTCTGTACATAAAAGCTTTGTTATACTGCTGTCTTTTGTCATCTGTAGTGTGCAACTGGCCACATGCTACTGATTCTGATTCCCGACTGCAGCCAAACTTTGCAAGTAGATACTGCAAACATTTTGCACATGAATCACAGGAATTCAATCACAGAAAACCACAGAAGCTATTACCCAAATGCTAATATAAAATAAATGTTTGCATTATGCAGTCTTTAGCACAGTTGGAAACATACAAATATGCTTAACTTAAAAGAAATGCCACCTCCATGCTATCCACTTCTCTTCTGTCTTGCTTATTTAAATACCAAGATTCAGGTGCAGAGAGTAGGTCTCCATTTATATTTATGTATCACCTATAATAGTGAATTCTAATTAAGACTAGGAGCCGTTGGCATTAAAATCAACCCTAGAAGCATGAAATAGTGTGTTGCCACATGCTATTAGGCAGCATTAGCTCAATTGTGTCAGAGCTTGCTCTAAAGTCCATTTAGGTAGCAGGAAAGGCTCATATTGATTTTAATGGGCCTTGCATCACACCTTTGAAAACTAACAACCTGCCTGTTATATTTGCATGAGTTTGCCTCTAATTTGCCTACTAAATCTAATAAAAAAAGAGGTCCTATTAACTGTGGCTAACAGAGGCAAAAATAAACCCCTCCAACAGTTTTCATTAGACCAGAGTATTAATTAATTACAGGCCAATCCAATGCATTAATTCAATGGAATTAAATGGCAGTCTTCACATTCACTTCAGTACATTTTAGAATAGGGCCTGAAATCAGCCCTTTCAAGGTGGCTGCAAGGAAATAATATTGTTCAAAAAACTAAAGCAGACTGAAGTTGTTCAAAATGAAATGTTAATTTCAAAGCTTGCAAAAGAAGAAAGTGAAAATAAAATTGAGCATGGCAGGATGAATAAGTCAATTGAATCTTTCATTTTTTTCCCCTTGTGAGAATACACAAGCCTCACTATGGGGCAGGGTGCTGAAAAGGACCTCGCAGATTGCTATAAAGTCAGAATTAGCAAAAACTGGACTTGCCCCAGTGACTTCACAGTTTAATCAGTATGTGTTATACATGCGTGCAGAATTCTGCTGCGCTGCTTGCTTTTCTTATTCTAAACGATCACAGTTTGCTGACATGCAAACATAACGAAAAACAGACAAATAACGTACTGCCAGTAAAATCAAGTTATGATTTATAACTTCCACTTTGGTTTGGAGCTTGCTTGTTTTTTGGTGTGAACAGAAGGGTTTTGTGGGTACAATGTCAATGATGATAGAATCTTTATACACTAGTAACATATCCAGAGGCTTCTAATATTCCAAAAGGCATCTAG